AACACGTTCAAACAGAACAATGATACCTCGGACAACGACAGCTGGCCAGACGAAATGAACTCTTCCAATCTGCCCGGTGTTCCGGTGACGATGTCGACGCCATTGGCCAAGACGCTTAGCTGGTCGCGGGCAGTAACACCACCAACTATTACCAAGTTTCTAAACGAATACTGAGTGGAAGATATCTGATGCGGCTACGAACTGTCGTAGGACAGTGATATGCAGTTGGTCCTATTTACCTGAGGTACTGAGTTCAATTTAAAATTGTTTTCTCGGCTGCCAGTTTCCTCAGATAAGGATTTAACCCCACACTGCGACCACTGCAGGTGCGGAAAGCCAAAAGATTAGTTACTAATAAGATGGCTCGTGTATTCCGATTTACAGTTCACGCCTTAAATTCAATCTCGGTAATCTATTATATGGGTAAAGGTGAACTGCAGCCGTTAAACTCAATCATATGGAATTTCCCTTTCACCATAGCTTTGCAAGCTCTGAAATGACTACAAGAGAACAGCATGAGAGCTCTATTGTTGGTAGGTCGATTTGTTACTTAGCTCTCGGTTAACTGCACCAAAGGACGGTAGGGTGAATTACTTGACTAAGGGAATACATAGTTAACAGAAAAAATTTACGTTGTTCATAGGATTTTTACTTGGCGTTTCTAAAATTCAAAACAAATTACTTTAGAAATTTACTAAATATGCCAAGGTCGCACTTAGTCATATACATGCTTACAAATTTCATGATTATTGGATGGGCGCGCTTAGCAAGATGACCACCTATTAATAAAGACTGTGAGAAAATAAGAAACCTAAGTCAAACGCTACATATATTAGAAAACTTTTCAAACTGTATTCAGTGGAAATTAAACCATAGTCCTAATTTTAGATTTACAGCAAGTGATGACACTCACCTTGTCGAAATTAAAGGAGTCGCTTTTCATTTCAGAGAAATTCATAATCGAAAGCAAGAAAAACGACTACTAAACGGCCCACCTGATTTTCGGATTGTCCAAATTCTTTTTGAATTCTTCTATCTGTCGGTCCGTCTGTTCGGCCAATTCCCGCGAAGGCTCGATGATCAGACACATTGGGGCGTTGGCGCTCGAAACTCTGACCGGCGCCGCAGCAGCTCCGTCCATTGGTGAATCGACAATCAGATCTTTCGGTGCTTCACAAACTGCTACGAATCCGTCACTAGCAGGAAACCTGAATGGCGATTCACCAAAATTGAACCTGATCTCGGCGTTCTAAAAATTTGAGTCTTTCTACGAAATAATCCATGGAGATTAGCAACAGGTGACTGAACCATGATCTGGTTTCAGATAAGACTATGTTCAAGGTGGCATGTCCTTATCTCTGTTCCCGTCCTATTGCCAAAACTTTCTACACTTGATACAACCTTACAAAATTATCATATGCTAATCTGTGACACGGATTTGCTTCTACAGTCCAATTACTACCTCAATTAAGAGTCATGCAACTCATCTAATGGATGAATTTACATTGTCACGACGCTGTTATGTGTACTTTCAAGTATCGCTCACCACACGCGCTTTTGTGACTTTTCCTTTCTTCGTGATGAATCGAGCTATTAACCACCTTCTCAGTTTGTATATCCCTTATTACCCGGTAGCTCATTAGAAAACCGTCATAAATTTCTGAGGTGGTATTCTTGATCTGCACCACATTCAAAATACAGCACTGAAAACAATTACGCTCAGTGAGGTTTTATATTGTATAACGCGTAAACGTGATGCATACTCAGTTGTTGCACCTTTCCATTTCTTTCTGCATCCTCTACGACAACAAGGTGAGGTTCATCAGGTTGTTGACTCGTCTTGGATAACACTGATGCCGCAGGGAGCACCGCTGTACCTATGTGAACGCACTCAGATTCTCATCCTGCACAGCATCACATAACCAAATACACGCCGGCCGATTCGGTAGTCAAACTACTATAATAGTCAGCCATGAAGCAGAGCTCACAGGAAACACTGCCAAGTTGAATCGAATATTTTTCATTTCCAAATTATGTTCACAAAATCATTTTTCTATACGTTTTCTGCATAATGACAATTGGTGATACTTAAGCAAATAAATCCGAATTGAATTTATGATGAATAAAGTCCGAAAAAATTCTAACTTGCTATTTGGAACCGTTGGAATGTCGCCTTTTTCAGACTTTCATGATGAGGCCATTTCTGGCGCCCTTCTTCTCCTTAAGTCAATGATTTGGTTCTGACCTCCATTTCATGCTATCAGCCCTGAGTGCAATATTTCATAGGCAGAGTTGACAGCAGCTATTTGACAAGTATAGTGTATAGTCCACCGTTTCCAATTCGCAGAGTGGTACTCATTTATCAACCTCAGAAGGAAAAAACGCGAGTGACCCGACCGGGCTCGAACCAGTGGCTATTAATCTGAACTTCTACTGACTGAGCAGCCCCAATCCTTAATATATCAAAATAAGACAGATTACATTCATTTTAAATATACCTTCAGTACAACGGCTGGAAAAAACTGCGCATTTTCAAGCTTGGGCGAGATTTTGAAAGCAACCTCGAAAAGCTTGCCTAGAATATTACTGAATCATTTTATTATCAAAACGATACTTAAATCATACCATTTCTGGAAAATCTAATTTCTTTGCGGTCCAAATCCAAAAAGCAGCCAATGACGTCACTGAGGCCAAAGGCCTAAAAACTGATCGATAAAATATAATACAGAAATCTGCCATTTCTAATAATCAACATCCACTATGATTACATTAACTTGGTCGATGTTTTCTCGTATTTGATTTAAGGAATGTTTCAGTGTGCAAAATACCCAAATCCGCCAGCCATATACTGCACAACTGAAAACAAGACTGTTGTGTGCAATAATAATGACATCTCTGAATCTTGAAGGCTAGTTAACTAACTTTTGGAACAGCGAAAAATGAGTTTCGTTTCACTGTTTTATAAAACCAACGTATAAACAATATTACGAAAACCTACTTCACCGTAGTTGTCAAACTGCTTTGAATTGCTCTTTTTGCCTGTTCCACCATAACCAAATCCGTAAGCATCGGTCCCTAAGCAGGCAAGATATCAAAAAGGAAACAGGTAAAAATTATAGACATATTAAACCACGTCATATACGGCTAACGCGTTATTGTACCTGTTTATATATAATGGAAACGAACAGCAGACTGATTATGTAAATTCAGAACGAATGTTGATTTTAACTTACGACAACTGACCTTAAAAACTAATAGAGAAGCTCATGGACCAACGCTTGGCTTGATTTGATCAAACTACCCAAGAAAGGAACAAAAACTTCTCCAAAACGTTTCTATTGTGGGAACCATCCATAAGCCGCAGATACGCTGGAAGACAATAAAAACGTGGAAACTCTTCAAAGAAACTACAAGGAATGAAAAAACAACGATCAAAATAGAATGAGCGCTGCTAGTAAACTTGAACCACCCATTGCACTCGAACTTAAAAAAGCTATGTTGAAACGTGATGAATTCAGAGTCCACTCGAGCGTTTCATTTCCGTTTGCAACAAGAAATATTGCCAGTAGATCTTACCTTTTTCGCTAAGGTCCATAGGGAGCCAACTACAAACGCAGATGATTTTAAACAGTTCATCAATGGAGAAATCAACTGAGCAACTGTACTTGTTTTGTGTGTTACTTTTTCTTATTATCTTTCACTGTGAAACCTGTAAAAGTCGTCTGACAGAGTAGCAGCAACAAATTTCAATATGATCGCATGTTTCATCCTGCTTTGTTAGTCAAGTTTGTTGAAGGTAGAGAAACGCCGTGTAGTTTTATTAAGCTGTAGGCACCTTGGAAGCGTACACAAGTCCTGGAAAGTTTAAATGTAAACCTATTAGCATCGATAAACACAACCATGCCCTTCGCCGCAATAGTGGATAACTTCACAGAAACCTGGTGATTTAGCTCAGACCGCTATCATCCTTCTAGAAACCTTGGTTACTAACACTGTACTCTGCTTTCGCTTAGAAACAATGATAAACAGCAGCTGTCAAGTTTAAAGTTCAAAATATCAAGAGCGTTAGTGTAACAGTAATGAATTAGTTTTCTTTTAACTTAGTTTCCGGGCTGAAATCCCATTTGCAGCGTAAGCACATTTTATTAACTGCTTGAGCAAGGGATCCTACACACTGAACTTTGGTGGGAAACGGACAACAAGTCAGTGACCTATGAACAATACGGATACGGACAGAGGGATGTTAGAGTATGATCGAAACCAAGCGTGCGAGACAAATGGCCATGTTGTCGTCTTGAGTGTGCGCTGTAGCGCTGAAATCTGACAGGCAGCTGACTAATTCAAAACAATCTTATAAACCGTAGATCAGAGGATTTATAAAAGTTTACAAAAGTGGCTAGGTAAACACAGTCAACATACTTACCGAGATCCAACGATGCATGAGGGGTTGACCATCCAACCCTGCATAGTCCTTCGTCCGTCACAGTAGCCTCATAATAATACTTGCCTATATTTAAATTTAACATATTAAAACAGGTATAAAGAAAATACGCATTTTGACAAATTAAATTGCCTTTTCCAGTCACTCCTTTGGTAGCCCTGCAACCGTGCCATTTCTGCTGATCCCTGCTTTGGCATAGAAGCCCTTCAGGAGTTATAGCTTAAAACTTATTATTAAATACGCGTTTCATCATCGTAACCGTTACCCATTGCGTCTCCCCTATCGTAAATGTTCAGCATAAATCCTTTAGTTCCTAAAAGTTAGACGTAGAAAAAGTTTCAATCTACTTCATCAATAATTTCACCGTGTTTTTTAGGGCCGCCACCTTTCCGTCCTTTTCCAGACATAAGGTCTTTCCTTGTTTCCCACACGATCTGAAGCACCGGAAGGCAAAACGCGCCAGTTTTACCACTTCCTGTTTCAGCAGCCTATACGAGGCATCAGTTGCGCATTACGAACTAATAGTTAGTAGACTGTCTGCTTACCATAAGGACGTCGCCGCCACCAAGTATCAACGGAATTGCTTCGGCCTGGACATCCGTTGGAAGCCTAAAAAAATGCCATTATAAATAATGACAAGCGTATTTCTTCAAGTAAATATAACTAAATCAAGTTAGCATGCTTTCAACAATTCAATCTAGAAGTCTCCGTCTCAAAATATGGGATCGAACTACAGGAAAAGATTGTAACTTCCAGAATGTCCAACTAAAACATTCATGATTAGGCATTTCATGCGCTATTCTTTCCATCAGGTTAATGGGTGGGGCACTGATGTCCACTTCAAAGCCATTAGCCACGAGTCTCTATTTGTAAAGGTAAAGTCGACAGCAGCTACATGGCATGTATAACTTGTTGTGTTCTGGCTACTTCTCACTGAATAGTAGTCGTTTACCTACCTCAGAAAGAAAAAAGGCCAGTTGCCTCACCAGCCTTTCAAACCCAGGACTCCTTGATTCGACTTTCTATTGACTAAGCAACTTCAGTCATATCACAGTGTCCTAAATCAAAATATACAACGGACTGCATACTCCTGACCCTCCAAAGGATCCAGGAACGCCTGTCATTAATTGTGAAACGCCCACTAACGACACTATATCTGGAAAATGCAGAATTCTTTACGTGCAGGTCGATCCAGGAGCTCAGACTATTCAGTATTAAATCCCCAAAGAGGACCACACCTTTTTTCAAGCCGTTTACCCTTTGAACAAAAGGCGACTTTGGAGCAAGATGGGCCAAAGATCCGCACAAAGCCTGAAGTATCAGATCAGGAAATAGAAAATATCACCCTTCCGCCACTTAGGTGGTAAAGGCCTGAAAACTTTTGCATCGTAGCGCTCGCCAAACTACTGCACGTGTATTATCCTCCCTATAAACAGTACGGATTGGTGCCATTCTTAAATCAAGATAGACATCGACTCTGCAGAGCTCCATGCCGAAATTTTCAAATACATAATGAAAAGAAACATCACAAATGATTTATTATTACAAAACGTGGTAAAAGTGGTCTGCCAGATAAATACCTGAATTTCTTCAGTCCACGAGTTTAACATTGGGCATGGCGCTGTATAAAGTCGATATTAAAGCTGATTTGAAAAAACTGCAGGAACACAAATGCTTAAAGGGAAGCAAAAGCATGGGCAATGTCAAGATACCAAATTCTTTCGGTCTTGATCATCCAAGTGGCCAAAAGATCAGATTTTCGGTCATTTTACCTATTCAACCTCAGGTGTTGGTATATCACACGGTATACCCTTTATCGACAAATGGTTACTGAACCCGTTAAGCAAATGAGTCGATTCTCCGACAACTCATACCTCATGTGTAATTTGATCTATCATCACGTTAAATTTTCTTGCTGCTTCCTAATACATTTTCATGTACATTACTCCATTGTTCACCATGTGCTCTATCCAAAACAATTTTTATGCTCTTTATGACTTTCAAAATCTATTACATTGAATTGATATCACAAGCGCTTTTTGTGCTGTGCAATGATAAATAGCTTCTGTAATGTTCGCTTGTTCAGCACAACAAAATACTCTATCTCTGATCCAATACACTTACATCCAATCCATGTCGTCGACGGCTTTCGCCAGTTCCGGAAGCACGCCCATTTCTAGTACGTTAGTAGGTCAATACAAAAACACAACAAAGGCAAAATACCGCTAAGCTTACCTTCGAAAGCTGTCATCGTTGGCGTTCGCTTCGTTTACTAAATAAACACCATTCAGGTTGGCAGAGTAGTTTTGAGGTCACTGCGAGCGGACGCATAGTCAGATGCCTCACTCAAGTAGAGATATACTTACCTCCAATGCCACAGTAGCTGTTTAGCATATAATTACGACTTATCTGAGCTCACACTACTCATTCAGTTCGCATCGCCTTTCCAGATGAGGCAAATTACTCATACAAGTACAGTAAATTAAGTACATAGAAGTAACTACACTACTTTATTTGGCATCAGTACGTGCAGACAGATCTGTACATAAACTTATCAATGCTGCATGGCATTATTTTACGAGAAGGCTCACAAACTTCATTTTTCCCTTTTCACTTTCCGGGCAGCTACAGCTTTCTTGAATTAAAGATGCCGATGATTTTAAGGCCATAATAAGTAAGTCAAGCTTGTTTCAATACATAGTTATATTAGGAATAACTTTAGCAAATGCAGCCAATGATAGCCTGAAATATCTGTTGTGCAACAGGCAACATATGCATAAAATCAGACATTGAGATCTATGTTAATATCAATGCTAAGATGGCGCTTTATCGCAAATCCATTACCGAAGCGTCGGTGCACATCCTCTGCGACTGCAGGTTAGTTATTCAACTTAAAGCTATTTTATTATCGTGGGTGCGTTTAAGGTATGCATGTAGGTTCTTCAGCTGTGATAATCATGCACTCATTTTCCATTTCTGATATTCTCGATTCTATTTTGATTGTCTACCCATTATCTTCTGTCTGAATTCTTAAATCATTGCATTCATACAGAATATTCCATACTTTCGTATGTCTAGCGGTAGTAATGGCGTGACTGTATAGTGCCTAACGGGTATGCGGGTATGCTTCGAGCCCCGGGGTTTAATTTTGCTCTTGGGATATACTAGTCTTATTCCCTAGAAAAAGGAATTTACCATACGCTGTCTCAGACCAAGACCGCTCACTCGGCAGTGTCTGAATAACCGTCAGAACCGACAGGTCCCGAGTTCAAGCTCCGATCAGGATTGCTCGCCTTTCTTCCTTCGAGGTTGATAAATGAGTACCAATTTGTGGGAAGGAAACAGAAGCCAAATGCTACGCCTGCTATATAGCAGTAGGCCATAATTTTAAAATAAGGCACTCTTTAATGATGACAAAGAGCCGCACCGTCAACTTTATGGAAAAAGAGTGCCAAAATGGCCCCGTCATGAAAGCGTTAGGAAAAGCGATGTTCCAACTGCTACAAACTTTCGTTTCTTTTCTGTATTTTCATTTCCGCCCTCCATGTCGCCAAATAAGCTGACTTGACTTACTGCGTGTAGCAAGATGTTATGCATGAATTCGCTTCTTGTCCCAGTTTGATCAGCATATAGTATGGACAGCAAACCGCTTCAACCACCTGGTTCATGTGACAATGATTTGACAGTCGTTCGTACTGCACAGACTTTTAACCCACAAGTTAAAAGATCTTGTTTTCATTCTCACTGCTTATACGCTGACAATATAAACGTAAACACCTTGCAGAAAAGTAGCCACTGCTCATCACCTCAGTGAAAATAGCCATTCCACATATGCCCCCGGGCAAACCTTGAGAAGCAGTCTAAAACAGAGAAAAT